ACATTTAGAAGAAACAACACAAAAATTAAAAAGTTTAGAACATTTATTAGATAATAGGGAACGCAAATTATATTGTAATGGACAATTACCACTCCCTACTAAAAGCAGACAATTGGGCACACAATTTCTTACAAATCCAAGAGATATTAAGTATGTAACAAATATAAAATTAATTTAATTTTTTGAACAGAGCTTTTTTATATGTTGCTATTCATATTCTAGTATATCAAATCCATTGAAGTCACCAGATCAGCATAAAAAATGGCAAAACGATCTAGAAGGGCATAGTTTGGTAAAAAATTAATCTATATTAATTTTGAAATGTATAAAATATATTAAATATTTTATTAACGACATTTATATACTTACTAGCCTGTTCTGAATCCACCTCAGGCAAATGATAAGAACATCGGGACAGATGAAACAATTGATTTAAATCAATCTTTAAATTCTGTGAAGACCGAAACAATGGCTAACTTGGAGCAAATAAAAAAGTATCGTCTCCAAAAGTCTGCTCAGAGAAGAATAATGCCAGATGATTTTGAAGAAAAGTTCGAAGAATTAAATTACGTTGCAAATAAAGGTCCCAAGAATTCAATTTCTCTTAATGATTCAGAAAGATTGGAAGAAGATGACGAGGATTACGATAGACAGTATGAAATAAGCGCCCATAATTTTAGAAAAATATATGAAAATCGAAAATGTCAAACTTTTAACAAAGTATTAAAAAAAGAAATTGCTTATTCATCTGCAAGTGATGATAGCGAAGGCGAAAATGACAATTTTAAGGACAATCAGGTTGATGTGACCATTAGCCCTAGAGAATCACATATAAGGTTTGGAAGGTTTTAAACTATCACTTTTTTATGCTTAATAATTGTATACGTTTCTTCAATCATAATGCATTTTATTTTAGTTGCAGATTAATTAATAGTGAAGATGGGGCTGGAAGTTCAAAGGAATTAGCATTATCTAATTGTAAATTTGAAGATAAGAATGATTTTTATAAGAATGATATTGAAGCTGATACTGGTGGAAGGAAAGAATCAATTGGACATTATTTATTATCAAATCAATCGAATGATGGTCTTAAATCAGTTTCAACTTCAGATGACAATCAAATTCATTATAGCTCTGATCAAGAATCTGAGAAGCTGACAATTTCTCATTTTTTGAACGAATCACAGAAGATGTATCAAAATTTAGTTAATGAAATGGAAGCACAGGCTGGAAATACGGAAAATAAAAACTTGTCTGCCTTACAAAATATAAATATAAATAATGAACAAGTAGGCATCAATTATTCGATAAATAAATTTTCAGAAAATCTACTAAAGCATATTGTGGAACAGCAAGCACCTGAGGAGGAAGCGATAGAAAAAACTATTGATGCCGTTTATGAAAGGAACGATGAACTTCAAGACAAAGTATTAAAGCAAATGGTTTCAGTAAGAGATTATGACAAATTCGAAACATCATTTATACCAGATTCAATATCACATACCTCGGAAATTTTTTCTAATGAGCCACAGGATAATCTTCTTGCAACAAATTCATGTAATGCGTTAATTAATGTACACAAACAGCAATCAAATGTAACATACGAGAAGGACGCAAACAATTACAATGTAGAAGCGAGAAATAAATTAAACAAACATGAAGTAAATGAAGAATTAAAAGATACCGATATTTCATTAAGTAATATACGATCCTCAAAATCTGATTCAATTCTTGATGTAACTAATAAAATCAACGCCATTAGTATAAATGAGAATGATGCCAAAATAAAAACTATTAGCTATAATAAAGAAAAGTTATTAGCAAAAATGAAAGCTATTGATGATAATGAGAACATAGAATATTTAAATCAAGACTATGAAAAAAATAAAGTAATAAATAGGAAACAAATAACTGAAAATTTGTTTCGTGGTGTACCTACACATATAAAGAAAAAACAAGATATTATGAAAGATATTTTTAATACTGATGGGTTAAAAAATGAACCCACAGGTAGTTAAGTACATCAAACTCATATATACTCACTTAAACATAAAAATTAAGGAACAAAGTAACAACTTCTGTAAAGAAACACTGACGAGATAAACTGAGTATAAACTTAGTATGTACTATATTCTTTTTGTAGCGCAGCAATTAGTGTTCCGTATCTCAGAAGTTACGGACTTCTATTTTAATGCAATAAAATATTTAAAAAAAAACCATTACAAGATCTTTTTACACCTACTACTTTAACGTAAAGTAATTTAAAAAATATGTAAACCATAAACAAAATTACAATTACCTCTTTTCGAAATTACAATAATCTTACAAAGGATATTAACAATT